TATTTATTTATTGAGTTTTATAGTTATTAGCCTACATGAACTGTCACTTGTGTTGAATTAAAATCTTAAATTTAAACCTCAGTAACTCAAAAACAAGTAGGGCTAAGTTGAATAATCTTGGATCTAATGACAATTTTAATAAAAATTTATTCTATGACAGGAAAATTCAGGAATAAAAAAATCCAATAAATAGACAAAATATTATTGTATACATTTAAATACTGTGTCTAATGTTCGAATAGTTGGAATATGTTCATGAAGTAAATTAGAGATTTTTTTAATGGATCCCTGGCTACAAAACGTATGAGAATCCATGATCCAGAAGATATAGAAGTTTGGTATGTAAAACAGACTCTTCAGTTGGTTTGTAGGCTACATGAGAAGTTTCACCAAAACACTAACCATAGTAGTGAACTTGTAAACTCAGAAATGTAGGAGTAATACATTAGTATGCGATTTGAGACACAGCTCTATTTTTGTTCATTTGCAGACAGTTCTACTTTCCCTCACTATTTGCAGTGATACTGCACGTCATGTTTGTGGAATTTTCTGTGGTATCTTGTAGACACATAAGCATAGTTAAAGGCATGTAGAAAACCATCCTGTGAGCCTCTAAAGCACTCTTTGATGATGTCTGCATTGATGTCAGTAGCACTGTCTTATATAACATTGTGCAATTAATAGCAGGGACCAATCATACTCAATTCAATTCCATTCAATCTGTGGACATTTTCACAAGGCAGCTTTACATCCGATTTTTATATTGGGCAGATTTTGTTTAGAGCACAGAGCGAAAAGGAGGCATTGAGGGATCATTTGGGACAGGACTGAAGTGATTTCCTTGAGGTTTTTAATCTTCACAATTTCTTCAGAGTGCAGCAAAACTTTACAAATGAATTTTCTTAGAATATTTAGTGTGACTTTAAATTGCCCCAGGATTTTGTCATTTGTACATAATTTTATTGCATTCTTAATTGTAAAACTGAAAGAAAAAGTAAACTGTATAAAACTGCTGATGTCTCTGGTCTGTGTCTCTAGAATCCAAATCTCTGTGATTATCAGTAATGCAAATACAGTGTTTTGCTTTCGTGTGCAGCTATCAGATTTCTGCTATTCATATCAGGCTCATGTTTAGTTTTATTGCTTGTGCTGGAGAAATTTGATCTTTCTAGCATTTCTAGCATTAGTAGATATTAATGTCAAGGACTGTTTGATAATCTTTGATACCAATGAAATACAATCTTGTCCTGAAATTGGGAAAGATTTTTGCGCATTCTTGCTAAGAGTAGCTCAAACCCTTTTACCTTTCCTCATGTCTGGGTCTCAGTGCATTGACAGATCGATGTGCATGGTGACAAGGAGGAGGAAACTTTAAAAGAAAGCTGAACATATCTCACAGGAGACCTTAGGGTCAATTAGTGCTACACATTCCTTCACCACACACACACACACACAAGTATGTGCACACAGAGAGAGTGTAAGCAAACCTTTAATCAAAGAACTCACGTATTTATTAGAAATGTGTTTAGCTGATTGAATTGTCTGTGTTGCTATATACTTAAATAGTTTGCACTCTAATGCGTGTCTGTGTGTGTCTCCTGACAGAAAGCTGAAAACGAAGAACACAGTAGTGCACAGGAGAGAGGAGCTCCTCCGACCGCCGCTCCGCGCAGCCACACACAGCCAGCAGAGTGCACCGGCCTCGTCCCAAATCCACAGCAGGAAGAGGACTATGGTCAGAGACTCGCACCATCACACACACTTCACTGCAAAGAAAAATAAACTGAAGGGGTGAATTATTCAGCCACTCCTCTGTTACCCTCCATAGAGACTTTGACCGTGTGTGTGTATATGTGTGCGTGTGCGTGTGTGTGTGTGTGTGTGTGTGTGTGTGTGTGTGTATGTTTGTGCAGGCGAGTGAACAGGGGACTGAGAGCAGCGTGAGCAACGATAGACCTCCAGCAGGAGAGAGTGCAGGCAGCGCATCCAAAAAGATGAAACTCTCCGAGGCTCCTTCTGGAAGGTACACTTTCACATCCACAAAGAATGATGCTAGTCCTTGCATTTAGTTTTTTACTGTTTTACAATCATACACCCTACAACATGAGAGAAAAAATACACACTAACACGTAGAGATAGCACTTATCTGCTACCCGGGATCAGGTTTGGGCAGACAGCAGAAAAAATAAGTGAATTTGATCTGATCCTGTAACAAATGGCAAAGACTGGAATTGGATTTGGAAAAGATTTTTTTTTTGAACTGAAAACTGTTTACATCTAACAAAAATCTTTTGTAATGAACTGATTTTAATTATGTTTATACACTATTATGTTTATATATAAATGATTTTTGTAAAAGCTGCAGTGGAACTTTTTTTAGCTGTGGGTTTTTCCCTGTATTTTTTTTAAGTGCTTCAGTTTAAAAAAAAAATCATGTTAAAGCTTACTAGTTTTTAAAGAAAAAAAATTTTGATTGGATATCAATGTCGGTTGATATTGAAGGTTTCAGTGTCTGAATCAGGACAGAAAAAGTGGTGTCTCTAATAACACCACATGAACACTTTCACATGAGCCTTTTGGATTTCATGTCAGACCTGCTTTCAAATGTGTCAGTGGCAGAACCTTCCAAATGATTTGGGACATTCATGTTTTTTTTTGTTTTGGTTTTTTTTTTCCTTTTTCCTTATGACATGGCATCTGTTTTGGAAACATCTCAAGCACACACTGGTTTGGAGGTCAAACTTTTCATAGCCAGGGACACTTTCCTTCTAGTGTGAAAATATTACACACAAAAAAACACATCACGATACATGAAGATATTTTTAGGATGCACCATCAGGAAAACTCAGTCAATGCTAATTTATTTTATAGACATTAAATAAAAGTATTTAGCCAAAAAAAATCTGCAAAAAAAAAAAAGTGAACATTTTACAATTTTAAAATTTCAGTACAAAATTGTAACACAAAATTAGCTACATTAGTATTTATTATAGTAATAATGAAATATATTTTATCACAATATCTGTATTATATCGATATGATGGCAGTACAAATGTATTTCATGAATATAATCAAAATATTTAAATATTAGATATTTAAAGGCATATATTGTATGTACCAGGATATATATTTATAGTCATTAGAGCTTTTTATTCCTGAATTTTCTGAACCAGATACACTGCATTAAAATGTAGATACAGAATGTTTGGTATCATATTAACAGCACTATTTACAGGTCTGTATTTTATATGTTTTTATATTTGTTAATTTAATCTTATTGTTCAAATAGCATTGAAGAAAAAAAAATTAATTTAAGTTTACCTTATACCTGTAATTCCAATCCATGCCAATCCAGTTTTGAGTATGGAATTAGTCCAGTATAAACCTCAGATGCCAGATTTGTTATCAGATCAGACTTGATGACTTGTGAATCATCTTTTTATGCAAACTCAAGCAGCTTCCTTAAGATCATTATTTTCCATCTTGTGCTCATCATTAACTGAAATAAAGCAATGGCAAAAAGGCCATGACTCAGAGCTCTGATATTAGTATCATATCAAAAATGAAGGATTGGTGCGTGCCTAAAAAGATTTTTATGAAGCACTTGTGATTCAAGGGCTACTTAAACTTTTTTCTGGAGAGTATTGGGTGAAAAGTGAGTCACTCTTTTATAATTTCAACCTTATGATTATTTTATTTGCTGGTATTTCTGTTATGAAGGTTCTGGAAGTGTAATCAGATGTACATCTTTCACACACAGATCCCAGGAATCGTCCGGCTCGAGCTGCATCATTCTGTAAGACGATGCAGATGTTGAATTCTCGAGCGTGACTGAGAGAACTGGTGGTACTGCTAGGAGACTGGTATAATCCATATACTATATCAGCTTCATTTTTACTGAAAGAATGCTATCCGTTCATATTCGAGCATTTTAAGAGTGATTTTCTCTGAAATGTTTTATTTCTGTTCTTTCTACTCTTAAAGAACAAAGTGTGTCTGTGTTCCTTATTTACGAATGCGTTTTATTTGTCTTTTATGTCGTGTGGTGCATCACGCATAACGCTGTCGACTGAAGATGCTACAGGCACAAATCTTTAAGTGCTGAACACATTAAGCAGTGCTGCTTTTATATGTATCATATATTTTTACTCTGTATCATATAGCTACTAATAACCTACACTCCTGCAGTTATTTATAACATCATAACATCATGTATTCTTATTATTGGGGAAGAAGGATGATGTGCAATATAAAGTGGGTGCATGAAGGAATTTTACTATTGATTGTGTATGGACAAGTTAATGTACTGATTGTGAATCATGGTGATATTATATAGTATGTAATCATCTGCATCTGCAAGCAGCCACACTGACTTCCACTGTGTGCTGTATTACTGTAATGTTTATAATGTGTTTCTTTATAATACTCCCTTTTTACCAGGTGTATTAATATTACTGAAAGCTGTTACACTGGACAATAGTTTAATCATTTCTATATGAATCAGTCAAATTCCTTTGACTCTTTATGTGATTACAATTTAAATTTGCAGTTTATAAGTTTCATATTAGAGGCTGTGTAAGATTTTTGGTTTTAGGCTCATTTTATGTGGTAGGTTTGATCAGGTAACCGGACCTTGTCCAACACTGAACTAATCAAAAAAGTCATATTGAATCATATTCAAATTCAGATTGGTCACAGATAAAGTTCTGTTATTAATAATGACCTGTATTCTATCATTTAATCATTTATATTGCTTTATTGGCATGTTGGGAGAACTTTCTGATGCCTTGTGGTGCATTACATATCCAAAAGCGCCCTCTTGTGGTTAATGTAATCACCCAACTATGCACACAATGCTGAACTAAGACATAAATCCTTGTTTAGACTCTTCATTATAAACTTCTAAACAATAAAATCCTTGGGGAAAAAAAGCAAGTGTGAGGTTCTTTTACTTTGTTTAAATAAATAAAATATTAATCATTCATTCGTTCATCTTTGGGTCCCTGAAGGACTAGTGGTTAGGCCATGGCGCTCTCATTGCTTGGGCCCGGGTTCGATTCCCGGCCAGGGAACTGACCCCAGCCAGTGGGGTTGCACATGACAGTGCACTCTCAGCGCCAGTCCCAAGCCCGGATAAAATTGGGGAGGGTTGCAGTGTACAAACTCAGGAAGGGCATCTGGTGTACAAACTGTAACAAATCAAATAATGATCAAATCAATGATCTGCTGTGGCGACCCCTAACAGGAGCAGCCGAAAGGAAAAACAACAACAGCATTCGTTCATCTTCAGCAACTGCTTTATCCTAGTCATGGTGGATCCGGAGCCTATCCTGGGAACACTGGGTGTAAGGCGGGAATACACCAGATAAAATGTGCACACACATTCACACACTTATTCACACCTAGGGGCAGTTTAGAGTAGCTAGTGCAATTACATGCATGTTTTCAGGAGGTGGGAGGAAACCCACACAGACCCGAGGAGAATATGCGAAATTCTACATGGAAAGTAACCCAAGCTCAGGGGCCCTGATGCTGTGAGGTGGCAATGCAACCCACTGCGCTAATATGCCACCCATAACCAAATCAGACATCCTATATATCAGAATTTTCAATCAGATGTGTATTGTTCTGAACTGCATTGTACTTTTTAGGAATTTTATAAAAGACTACATTACTAAAATGCATGATAAATAAATCAAATGAGAAGTTTACCAATGAGAAATTTAAGCACTGCTATTGATTATCCATGTGTACAATGCTATAGCACGCAACTGGCATTTGTGTCATTTATGATAATCATCTTCATATTATGCACCTAGATAGCCGACAAAGGGTGTCCTGAAGAAGCTGCTACTCCAGAAGCACATGCTTCCCTGTAGTAAGTGCCGGGTACCCTCGGGTCCCTGAAAAGCCTGCACAAGCATTAAATTCCCTTTCAACAAATTTAAAGCCATAAAAGGTCTTAAATATCATAAATAGTGGGGGGAAAGTCTTAAAAAATCGTTCACTGAGGTCTTAAATTTTGGAGCAAACATGTTTTTGATTGGTTGGTGATTATTATGGTAACTGATTTGCATGCTCACAGAGCTGCTAGAGTGGTACGGGATGCGCTGAGGTGGACATGAAGTAATGGGGAAATGTAAATTTAACAGCAAGTGGCTCGAAAATAATCAATTCTTGGATTGGTTAAAACCAGCACTGCTGTAGCATTTGTGAGAAATGCTTTAAACTTGGCTCTGTGGGTGTTAAGGCCGTGGATAAGCACAAGCAATATGTGCGAGCTCATCAGCAAAATCCTATCGCTCTCTATTGCTCCCAGGTAGTCTACCCAGCATGCAGTGTTACTACTGAAACTGTTAGTGTACAAGCAACAACTTCCAGCCAGCAATCATTCGACATTCAATCAATCTGTGGCTCCATGCCAGCACTGAAAGCAGAGGTTATCTGGGTATTATGGACAGTGGCGAATCATCACTCATACATTTCTAACAGCAACATTAATGCAATGTTTCCCAACTCGGAGCTTGTGAAGACCTTCACATGTGGACGAGACAAGACTGCCTACATCACCAGGTTTGGTTTGGCTCTGAACATTAAAAAAACACTTGCCAGAGCAGTAAATAAAGGTGCATTTGTGGGCGTGTTTGATGAGAGTCTAAACAAAACAACCAAGACCAAGCAAATGGACCTTCATGTGCGATATTGGTGCAATAAACCTGTTCAGTCAAGGTACTTCAGATCACAGTTTATGGGCCATGCAACTGCACAGGACCTGCTTAAACACTTCACAGTAAGTTTGTACTCTGTTAACTTACGAACAATATTTTCTTACAGTGATTTTTGGTTACGACAATTTATAAATATACTAGTGTTCATTGTTAGTTCATTTTTCACATTAGATTACCAAATGTTACAATATACATCTTTTAATGTTTTAAATTATTAGTGTACATAGAAATTAACATGGATTTTATAGCATTTATTAATCTTGGTTAATTAAATTAATTTGTGCTTTAAGTAGAATGCTATTTTACAAGTAATAGTTTGTACTGGGTCCTGTTGATGATTGTTGGACTGATCAGTATAATTTGAGATATTTTGTAAAAATGAAACATTTTGAATCTTTTTTATTATTATTATTTGCCAGTAGTGTGTGCACTCTCCTGATTTAAAGATGATGATCTCTGTCTCCGTGGAAGGAAACAGAGTGTTTTCCAGCAGGAGTATGCAGAACAGATTGGAGGTGCCCGACTGAATGTGGTTGGTAGTTGTGGCCTCACACCATCCACAATGCTTTCGAAAGCGGATTTTTAATGTGGCAGTTAGAAAAATTTCTAAAAGCAATGCACACATTATTTAACAATGCCCAAGCAAGAAGGGAAGACTTCTGCACAGTGACTAAGACAAGCGTATTCCCATTTTGTGGCCATCGGTGGATCGAAAACTTGCCCGTGGTTGAGAGGATAACTGCAGTGTGGCCAGTGATGGTCAAGTATGTGGATGCAGTGACAGTAAAGCAGTTTTCTAACACTGGAACATCATCAAATGACACCATCAATGAGGCAAGAAAGGATTGCTTGATTGTGGCCAAGCTGCATTTCTTCATGACAGTTTCCAGGGCCTTTACCTCCTTCCTGACCAAGTATCAGACTGACGAACTCATTATGCCATTTATCATCAAAGATTTGACTTTACTGAACAAGGTAGCTGTTAATTTCTATTCTGTAACTGCACTGTATGTAAATGACACCGGAACACAATCTGTCTTCTCTATTACAGTCATGAAATGGTGTCTGTTTTTATTTATTT